CTCAACATGTTCTGGCATCTGAACTATTGGTTCAAAATGAATGCCATCATCAGTTGTATCACCTTCTTCGCCGGATTCCTCTTCGGTAACATCTTTGTTTTGCTCAAACAATTTACGACCAGCCCCCTTGAAGGCTCCTCCATCTCCAAAACTTGTTGTTTTATTACTGTTTGCCATGTCCTGGAATGTCAACTCTGATGCACCAGTTCTAGTTCCAAAAATGGAAGTCTGTGCAGGAGGAGCTGGTGCTTCTTTCGGCTTATCAGGTATTTCTGAAGACTCTGAGCCAATCAAATAAGCCTGATTTGATGTTGACAGAGATACAGAAGTGGTTGTGTTGTTATAACTCTGTATAGCAGAGCCAAAGTACGAGTCCGGTCTTGGAACAGTTTCATGTTGTATCAGTGGTGCAGCAAAGTTGTAATCCCCAGTACCTTGAGATGCAAAACTGAATCGAGGAAATATCCCACCACTTTCCACTGTTGTAGTAGATGCGACAAATCCTGGCCTGGAGGGAAGACTGGACTCAGTTGATGTGGTAGCAGCATGGAAACTATCAGTAAGAGTAGATATAGCTGTGACTGGTTGTGATGCCATAGAGCCATAAGCACTATCAACATGTGGTGGTATAAGACCAGGCATACCACCTACATAACCATGTAACGCCGATGATGTAGCAGTAGTGACTGTTACAGACCCAACACTTGAAGGCTGAACTACAGAGGCAGTGATAGGTGGCATTCAGATGTGGGAATCGTTGGCGATATGCATAGCTATAATGTAACTCTTGCATAGATGGTGGTACCATAGGCACTGGTGTGACTGACAATCTTTTAATATCTTGGACATCAGACTATGAAAATAAACATATTGAAATTTACAAATCAAAGTGTTATGCTATGGCTGCCACATAATATACATGTAGTGAATTAACATTATGATGGCACACTATCCATAATTGGCCATCAACTGATAGCTTCTGATAGACCTAATAAACATACATTAGAAGGCAACATCATGGGGACATATTTAATGGCATAATCCATACTAAGTGCCATATTGAATTCAAAGAGTGCCATATTGGATTCAAAAAGTGCCATATTGGATTCAAAGAAGACTGAACACCAGACACCCTGCAGTATGCATGTTATCTCACATACAATAGACTTCTCAAATCCTAATACTTACTCCAATCTGCTGTAGTTGATGGGCTAGTATCAGTATTTGTTGTTCATGTGTCATGGTTGATTTTGGAGATGAAGCAGCTGCTGCTTGTGGTGGCTCAGGACGCTGTGATGTCTGAATGTCTTTTAATTGCTTCTATAAAAACAAAACAAGCAAAGATTGTGACTATATCAGACAGAATAAAATAGTAAATACTATCATGAATGACCAGATCATGGGGACACATCTGAGGGCGAGAACGTCAGACTGTTAGGCCAGTCGTTCTCCTGTGCCACAGAACTGCTAGTTTAGCCTAGGCTCAACAACACAGGTGTTGGACGTGTCAACAGCAGTCATCTGTATCTTCACAAATGACTCAAGGTTCACTCTGAAGAATAATGATGGCCGTATTCATGTTTAAAGATGCCCTGGTGAGTGATTCATAGATGTCAATGTCCAAACAGCACTACGTATTTGGTGGCAGAGAGTAGCATAGCATGGATTAACTTTCCCTATCATAGGTCTTTCTCTCCTCGTTATTGATGGCAGCTTAACTGGACAATTGACCATCATCCCCATCTGTGAATCTGTGGCTGATCCCAAATAATTACAAATAATCCCCCTACATCACGTCTGAGACATCATCCATGAATGATTCACAAACCAGGAGTTTTCATATGCAAGCCCTCTCTCGTTCAGTTGTCATGTAACAAAACGTGCAATCACTACATGCAGGTTTTATAATTTCATTCATTTTGCAGTTGTTTCTCATCAATTCTGTAAAACATTGTGATCTATTTTTATTACCATCATCGTCATTCTCATTCTGGTATTGCCTGAATTGGTTTTAGCAGTACATATAGTTAGAGCCATCTTTGGAAAGCTCATTCAAATGCCTCAAGGTTGAGAAAGAATTTGAAAACCTGATGATTTTTTTCTTTCAGTAACAGTTGTGAATATGATACAGATTCAACAGGCCAGTCAAAGCCACTGCAAATGTTTGGACAGATTTTTGATTTACTGCATAACGTGCCTTTGTTGATGCAATCTGAGGACATTTATGTGTACCTTCATCCCTGGCACTTGCAGAGACAATGTTGATATTCAGCGTTGGTAACTGTAGTTTGACATTTAATTTACATAACTGTATCAATTATATTACACATGGAAGATAAAAATCAATGTTGGTTGACAAATTGACAGTCATTGGTTATGTCATTTAATTAATATCTATGACAATAACTATAGAAAGGTCACTTGTCCATAAAACAAACTCAGAACATGAAAACCTCCATCAAAAATTTTTTTCAATAATAATTTGTAAGTTCCCTGTACTAGATAAAAAGAGCAATCTGATTGGCTGAACATTTCTCCATTTCAAATATAGTGGCTCTATTATAAGATATGATGTAATAAATATGTGGAGGCAGTAAGCTGGGACAATACACTTAAAAATTCAAAATGACATCACAGGACAACAATGCATTAACACATGAAATACACTACAATAAAGAAATTCACATACCATAACATCTGAGAGTTGTTTTGATAGGGTTTCAATCTGCTGCTGACTTTTACCATAGTTGTTCTGTAACTCTGAATATTTCTCAAGTAATTTGCTATGGTTTTCAACCAGTTTAGTGTGAGAGGAATTCAAGTTCCTCAATTCAGCAGCAATACGTCTTGGTGAGGGATCATACAACACACATGGCTGTAAGCAATAAACATTTCAATATGTCATATATGTGTAAGAACATTCAGGTGAATTCAAATAATGCTCTTTTGATAATGACACAGTCGTGATTATAATAATAAACAAAAAATCAAGTCAAATATATTCAGGAATTTCTGAATATCATCAATGGCAACTGCAACACAGCAGTGATTTATCAATGTTGTAGTACAATTTTTTAACATTAATTTAAACGGGAAAATCGCATGATTTAAAAAAAAAAAGGCAACAGAAAATTTTTGGAAGAATGAACAGAGCATTGAGGAAGAATTTAACAGTTTTTATGGTGATTGCCGAAATGATGTTGACCCGTTCACAATAAACATTGTCTTCTTGAATAGTGGCTGGCAAGTATAAAAATTTAATTTAAGGTGCCATTAATTTAGGTGCCAGAAAAGATTGAATTGTTACAAAAAAATGACACCTAAATTAGAATATGATTGGAGCTTGGTTGATGAAATCATACAAACCTGATCCTCTCTGACTGTGCTTTCTAAGACAGGTCTGTCAAGTGGTGACGTCACATCTCCACTTTCGGAAACACTACTTACACTACCATTAAAGTTTAATCGCCTTGTCACAGGGGTCAATGTATCAAGTATGGAATCCACCTCCTCAAGAGCTTCAGCAATTTTTCTATTTAATGGCTGTGGAAAAATCAACCATGCCAATTACTGAACATAGAACCATTCATAACAGAACTTAAGAAATGGTACAGGTTTACGAAGCAATTATACTAGTCAATGGGTAAGCAAACATTTAGCTGTGAATTTAGCCAATTTCTAATGGGCTTATGATTTACTGTAAAATACTTTATTTTAGCTGGAATAAATTTTCGACTTTTTGGCTGTTTTGTAGGGAGTTTATTTTCACGGATTTTTGATGAGTTGAATGTAAATTATAGCGAAAAAGGTACATTTGCTGGATTTTATTTTCACTGAATCATCCCTTTAGTGAAAAAAACGAAAATAAATGTTTTTACAGTATACGAGAAATTAAGATATTAACAATGAAATATTAGCCTGCTTTACCTTTGTAAATTGTATTGTTGACGGCTGTGAAGCTCTTTTTTTACATAGATTGGTTTGTAAACCAGCTATATTTATATTGCTAGCAAAAAGAGATGAAAGCCAACAAGGCAAACATACATAACCATATGGGGTCCACAACCATTACAGTAATTGTAACTCCTACCATCATAACACTATAATATAAACTCACATCATCAGAACGAGTTCCTAGTTTGTCTACAGCCATATACAAGCACTCTCTGGATTTCTTCAGCAAGTCTAATTTCTTGCGTTCATCATCCGAATCAATATCCCCTTCTTTATCCTCCATAATTCGCTGAGATAACAATTTATAAATCTAAGGAACAGAAACATTTAACCACATCAACATTAACACATAGTAGTATTGCATTAAGCATTAAGCCCATTTTATTTATCACCCCCAGAAAAACTTCATTTGTAATTTAAAGTTACTAATATATTGCATTTTTGTATAGGATAGCAAAGAACAGTGAGAGCAATCTGAATACCAGTTTTAAGGGGAGAAAAAATTGATAATAGATAATGAATGGCAGATGGATCACCTTATTTGCTCTACTAGTAGCACAGAATACAGTCTACAGTCAAAGTAAGACATATTTCAATGATCTAGCATACAATATGTGACATTTTGGGTTTTATATATTTTGAGAAAATATGGTAATCAGTAGGACCATAAACCTTACATCCAGTTGACAAGCAAATTTAGAGTTTATACGCATCATAATTCAAGATGTTAATATCATAGCATAATACCGTACTTCCCCGAGTACAAGCCCAGGGGCCTGAACATGTAAAATCGTGAAAATTAGGGGGTGGGCTTATACTCGAGGACCACCTCAGAAAAGATTATTTTTTGGTGGGTTTAAAATTGTAACCATCTTCCCAACCACGAAAAATTATCCAAATTCCATTTTTAGTTCACAGTGCCGGTCTCGGTGAAATATTACGTTTTTTTGAGGAAAAAAATGCCAAATGATTCGTCATTGATTTCAATGAAGAATGAAGAAAGAAAGATGTTCATAAAAATACACACATTTTATTACAATACGGTTTACATACTGTCTGAACTCAGATTATTGACTAAATAATTTTTTCAATGCAATGCTAAAAAGTGAATTACCGCGATGTTAAAATACAATCTGCTAACACTGATTTCTACAAAAGAAAAGTATTTAAACCATTCACGGTAACAAACAAGTCATGTCGAAGAATAGTTTGCTTGTTCACGATAATCTCAATGGACACGATTATTGGGAAAATTAAAATGATGTTCAATGACCAGGTTTCACATCTTGACGATCATAGTTTTGGCGTTTCGAAAACTACTACTCAAAGGAAATATGGATTACTTCAGTATTGCAACATCGGGGTTCATCCTGACTACATGTAAATAACATAATAGAAAGGATGCAAACCATGTTTCATACGTTTGCCATGCACTCTGAAATTAATGCAAGTTTTCTGGTGAAAGCAAGAACCAAACTACCATAGCAATCATGATTTTTATGCAATGAAATATACTTTTAACATGCACATTTTAATAATTGTCGTTGACGCCCAGTAAAAACACTTCGGACCTATACTCCCGGATGCCCTCAACTCGTTAAATATCTAAAAACAGAGGGTAGGCTTGTGCCCGGAGAAGTACGGTACATGTATTTACAATGTTTTCGGAAGTATTCACTCTGATTTCAGAACTCACTTCAACCTTAGATATTTAAACACGTTTAACTGCACTTACCATTGCTTGGTTGAAAACAGCATCAGCATTTCCAATGGTTTCAAATAGTTCTAGGGCTTTCTCATGATCTCCCTTCTCAAACGTCATAGATGCAACAAACTTCATTCCCTCTCTAATATACTCTCTAACTTGAGATAGCTGCAAAGCAAGTTTTTTATAATTAGTTTTTAAGGCAACATGCTTATAGGATGGCATGCTTGTTTTTTTGTACAGGACTTGGTTGGCAAGAACTGTTTGCATCTGAAGGTGGAAAGTTTGCTGCTGCTGTTATGAAATAGACATGTGTATTGGTTTTAAAAAAACATTACAGCTGATCATTGGCTAGTGCTGATTTTTTGGCAGAAATGCATATGAGCAAAACACAAACGACAAAATGGAGAATGATGAGAACAAGGTCAATGTCAAAGTAGACTGTCATCACTTGATGATCGACCTTGCCCTCATCTTCCTCCATGTTATCATTTGTTTCTATTTTGTTCATATGCATTTCGGCCAAAACGTGCCATCTGTTTTTTCTAATTCTGTAACTTACTTGTAAAGAAGATTCCACATGTTTGAAAAATGGATTAGATGGCTTGGAGACGTTCATATCCCTGAAAACAGAAGACAAAGTATATAGGTAATGATCAACACAATTTACACATCGCCTACTGATGTTTTTTCCTTGTAATTTTGGCGATCCATAGAGGCTTTCATCAGGTAATGTGTTGACTTTGATGGAATAAATTGTTAGCTCCGTTGTCGACATTATCAAGTAAAGCTGTTGATATTACTGATTAAACATTGTCTGTGTCAACTTTTTGTCTTCTTGAAAATTGCAGGACTGCTTGCTTTAATACTTGCTTGGGAGGACCGTTCTCAGATTTATTCATTTTATGATGATATTTTTTTATTTGTGTAAAAAGTGCTATTTTGACTTTTACTGGTAAATAGGTAGCCAAATTGCTTCAATATTTTATATATAGACACATTGAGTGGGACCTTTGCAATATTTGTATACTTGGTGACGATATCCTCAATTCTCTAATTTTAGGGTATATTTTTATCATTTTTGGTAAAAAATGCTATTTTAACCCAATTGTTTCTGAATCTATATAGACATCTCATGTGGACCTTAGTCAGATTTTTTCATTGTTCCCAGTAAAGATATTGTAATAACTTACTGAGCGAATCTTTCTAGTATTGGTAGCACTCCTTCCCAGTAAAGAGCAGCTCTTGACTGTAAACACAGGTACTGATCCTGAAAATACCACTGCTGTTCTGACATCTGCCGTGTTTCGTTCATCTGCCAATCAAAATAATATCAGATGACTATGAGAAAAAACAATGCACTTAAAATTGTGGAGAACACTGATATAAGATAGTGGAGTACTTCAACAAAAAAATAAGAACATTTTCTTGTACTATTTTTCATATGTTGATTGATTTGCAACTAAAATGTGAGCAATATGGAGAGGCTCTAGTTCAAAACTAAGCCTAGTGGCCCTGAATTTTATAAGTGATATTGAAATGGATTTCTGTTAAAAGTGATGACTGTCCAGGTGTGGCTCTATGTTCTTTACAGAAGTAATGATGACCAGTTCTATAAGGCAAACAAGAATGGTGGTGGTGAATGGCATTTGCTGGACCTTAGACCAGTCTACCAATCATACACTGCAACTTAGCTTGGCACACTGTGGTAATAATTTTCACACAGTTCACATACAGCCTCTTTAGATGCTTGTTAAGGGGGTTATATAACTGCAAAACATACGGTAACATAAAACTCAAACTTTGACATGCACATTACGGCTCCCAGGTATATTTGTAAATTAATCTCTACGTCATGGACGATGGTCACCATGCAGTGGACATTCAAATTGTATTTAATTGAACAGGGTATTTTACAACAGTTTGCATTGCACAGAACTCATTCCAAATCTGATATGTCACAACTACCACTCTCCATTAATAAAAAAGGTTGCAGGCTTACAACTTTTTAAATCATGGAAAACATGCATAAATAAAATATATTATGTGAGATTACCCTGGAAGCAAAGCACTTTGCCAGATGCACTAATAACTCAGTTTGTATACCGTGTTTGCCTATAACACGAATCACTTCCAAACCTTTCTGTGCTTTCAGTCGAAGTTTACTTCGTTCACTGGCACTACAAGTAAAAACAGAGAGGTATATTAGAAATGCAAAGATCATTAGAAACATCATGATGCGACTTCCTTCCAAAAAAATCCTACATGTTCTGGTGACGTTTTTGTATATTTTTATGTATTTTTTTGTAACATCATCACAGTCTGGCATCAGTGCTTGTATTTTCATATTTCTCACAGAAAGAGACATTACTGCTAGTTTTATATGAACATACTGCATACACATACACTAGAAAAGACTTGCCTTGCTTTGCCTGTATACAACGAACATACAGCATTCCACCATTCCTCTTGTTCAGTTGTTACTAGTTTTTTTGATAAGCACAGTGGCAGCATTTCCTGCTGGTAATCACTCATATGATGTTCTATGTACTGTTCTCTAATTAAATGTTTACTGCAGTACACAACAGCATAAACAAAGCTCTGTAATTATAAAACATGGTAAAACAGTTTAGAAACCTTGATCACGATGTCGTTGGGGATTGCTTGGTAAATGTGAGCATTACAAATAAATAAACAGATCTGTGCAACATACAATATAATGATTCAACAAATAACAGAGGATGCAGACATATGGATTCAATGCTAAATTACAAGGATTTATTCTCATCTGATCTACAAACAATTTTGTATTGTGATACCATACTTGTTTTGATGAGTTTACGGCTGATATTGTGAAGGATAACGTTTATTCCTTAGTACGATGTATAGTTGTGGTAATCCGCCGTGTTTTGCGTGACATTCAGTTTAAATAGTGTTTACTTATTGTAGGTTATAAATCATAAGCCGACTATTGTTCTATTAATTCAAATAAAACAGTATTTTATTATAATAGCTGTGTGGATGGAATTTCAGATCATTATTCATTATTTTTATTTGGGAACTATTTACTTGTGCCGAGAGCACTCCGCGGAGAAGACAAGAAGGCAAGATTTGCGACGCCATGCGGGAGAGTCATATTCGAAAACTAGATTAAATAAAGTCCGGGCGTCAACATACGCAGTACACCTGAAGTAATAGCAGTTTCAAGCTCACTTGGAAGAAGTTTCATCCTGTTTAAAAGATAACTAAAAGGAATCGTCATACATCCTGAAGTCGGTAACTGTGAGTACAACTCCCCGTGGGCGAACGCCCCATGATGCATTGCGAGGAGAGCTAAACATGGCCACCTTCATGCTACGCTAACGTGTTGTGCGATTGATTGAACTTGTCTTGTAAATCATTGAACTGACGTTCTGTTCTTCGTTAATCGGGGATCACAGGCAACCTATTCTCGCCTAACAACTGACTGCTGTTACCGATGTCTGTCAGTGAATAGGATTAATGAAAGCCTTTGCGAATATCCATGAATGTGAAGCTACGCTAATTCATAGCAACCGAATCAAGTCGAATCGACATATAGATACATGTTAGTAACATTGGCCTATCAACTCTGAATTTAGAAGAGTCGTGAACACTGTTAGCCTCCGCCGTGAACTACAATATCCAGTCGTGTGTCGTAACTGATCTATGACGCGTGTGTGTTTCTTTCGTACTACTACTACGTCGTCTAGAACACCAAAGTGAAGCGTCGGCGAACCTCCTATAACCAGAACACTGATTGAACTCTCCCTGTAATATCCCACCATGCTATTGTAATGAGTTATTACATTTATTTGTACGATTTTTGTTTTGGATCTCTTGTATAATATTCAAGCTGATCAATATTGTGACCCTAGTCATTGAGTGATTATTGTATTGTTATCACTTTATACATTTATTAATATTTCTGTAGTGCGTTACCAAGGCTGTAGGCCTGGGCGATTAATAAGGTTTAGCATTTATTGTAATTATATCACACTTAAGGTAGCGGGACTATTATTTGCATACTTGTTTTCATCTTCTAATTGTGACCAAATGACTACAAATAGACCCAGGAAAGTATATATTTTTAGAATCGCCATACTTCAAGCTTGTCAAAAGTGTGTTTTTCATGCTCGTATCTGCATTCTACGATGCGTTACTCAATCAAAGGTGAAAAATTACTTTTTCTGTAAAAAAAATAATTACGCATTTATGCTAGCGATAAGAAGTATTTTTTTCACTTTTCCTAGTTGTTCAATAGTCTGGTAAATTGAATGTGTCTGGTCAGTTTTATTCACGCAACGCGTTTTAAATAATAGTGTGCTGAATTTCAATTACTGTTTTAGTCGCATTGCCCCCAACTCAAACCACAACTCGTTGCTAAATAATAATGAAATAGTTTGTCTGGACACATTCAAGCTCCTCTCACTGTCACCCAAAAGCTGTGAAAATTTGGTGTTACTCCGACGACAATAAGTATAAGTTATTTTCTGTTAAAGACCTTGTATTTTGAAAAACATAAACTCCTAGAAAACGTCCATGAAGTAACAGCAAAGATTTTCAAGCTTGTTTATCGGCACAATCAATTTGTTTTCAGATCAAGGTCTGTTTTAACATGTGTAGGACATCCAAATGTGTAAGGCTATTGGAAACCAAAAAAATAAAGGAATGGGATAGCTATAATTGGATAAATTCGGCATATGAAAACACCAAAATCAATGATTTTTTTTCAGTGGCTGTGTGACCTTGTGTCCGACACATTCATATGCAAATGACTAATCTGTGAAATAAACAGGGGCAGAGACAAACCACTCAAATGTTTGGAAACACTCATTGGGTGTCAGATAGCTACTGATAACACATTGCTTTGTCTTGAGTTTATCTTTGAAACTTATAGGCACACAAATTAAACCTGTGTTGTTGATTTTGGAAAACACTACTGAGGCTGCCTTACTTCCCTTCAGAAAATCTACATTTTAACCAACTTACATGACATTCTATGTTATGTTGACTTTATCACACGAAAGTTTATAGTGCATTTCATCAATTAACAAATAAATGTGAAAATCGTAATTTTCAACACAAATAATAGTCTCGCTAACTTAAGTGCTGACCACTTGAACCATTCTATGTAGATTACATAGGGTTTTGCTCCTATTCAAATTTCGACGCATTGTCATTTGTTGTTACTTGCAAAGTACGGGTCAACTCAATTTGCACTGATTTTATTCATGCTCTATTTGTCGAGTGTGTGAGCAACCCCTACGTTGCTATTCCTTACCATTGACTATACCTGATTGTAAGTGCGCCCTCTGTTGTAATTGAGGAGTTATTCTTATTCTCTGCGAAGCAAGAGATATCACTCTGTGTCTTAGTTTGTTGTATGTTGTGGTGCTTGTATGTGGGTGAGACCGACTGAACATCTGGCGGACATACCCCTGGTAAATTGGGCCATTCCAGTTTATATCTGCACCCCCCTGTTGATGAGCTTGTTTGTCTACTTCATACAGGGTATAATTTCCATGGGTGTACAAGTCATACAAAGTTTTATTTCCAAATCACCATTCACCATACAGTAATGGAAATCCAAAACTATAGGTCCTACTTATGGTGTTGATGAGTTTCTTTGTGACACCATACAGAGTAGGATTTCCAAATATAACTCTCATCATATGCTAATTTACCAAGTTCAAAATTTTATATCTGATAATGGAAATCCAAACTCGTCCTGATTCACGGTGTTGATGACCTCATTCGTGCCACCATCCTTATCTAATTTCAGTAATAACTATTTCATACTGGCCCAATTTTTTTACCATATACAGTCAGAAGTTTTTTTAGTCATAGTGTTGGAAATCCAACCTCATCAACCGGTATATGGCGAGATAAACAAGGCCATATTTTATTTAGTAGCCATAACTGCCTGGATTTCCAGGAATTTTTTTCCATACTCGTCTGGATTTTCAGATTCTGTTTCTCCATATACAGTTGGAATTCCGGGGTATTTTCCCTATCATACAGTGCTGGAAATCCGACCACATCAACAGGGGGGTGCAGATATAAACTGGAATGGCCCATTGTACCCGTGCTAGTCTATTTCGAGAGGGACTTGTATTGTCGTTTAATTTTGACCTCTCTGTAAACTGGTAACAATTGCACTCATTTTGTGAATGTTACAAGTCTTATGTGGAATCAAGATGCGATGAACTACTAGTATACTTATCATGAACAGAAAAAAATTAACATTGACAACAGACAATATAATAGTTTGTCATCTTCATTAACATTACAAGCAAAGTAACATTCCAGTGTAGAGGGTTTGAACATCTTAGATTGAGTGTTAAGTGTTATATTGTTCTCCACACAAGACTTGTGCCTTGCAAAATGTGAACACTTACCTGTATATCAAGCTGGCAGATGGTTTCCACGGCTACGCTTTGCAAATTCTGGACATTATAATGAAGCTTTTCAAAGGCAGGTGCAAGAAGGAAAACAACGTCAGGCTGAACATCACTGCTTTGTGAAAACCACTGCAATGCCAGCCATATAATATGTCTGAGACTGTGAGGCTGATCTGCAACAACTCCTACAAAACAGTTGCAAAGCAGAATAAGATTCAATGGCCACATTATTTCAGGTCAATTCTTTCAGTGTATAACATCCTGGATTTCAGTTAATAGATATCATAATAACGTACAAAGCTCATCAAAAAGAAACAGTAGACAGTGGTCTATGCACGATGACAATAAGCT